GCGCTCACAGGCTGGGACACCTCCTCGTGCACCTCCTCGTCACTGAGCCTCTCCACCTTGACTCGCACGTCCTCCTCGATCACCAGGGGAGAGCTGCCCTTGGTGCTCTCACAAGTCACATAATCTGCCATCCTCCTGCTGGACTCGGAGGGCCCAGGCATTTCCAAAGTCCTAGAGTTCTCCGCCTGCTTCACCTTTTCTGACTGAAGCCTTCGATCAATTCCAAAAGGAAAAGTCCAGGGAAAGGCTAAGGACGAGTCCACGGGCTGATTTCTGGACTCTGGGTAGGAAGTGGAAGGATTGAGCACTTGGGGGGAGCTGGTTTGTGTGTTGCACTTGAGGGGGCTCTCAGGAGACATGACAATGTAGCTTTTGCGCTTCCTGCGCGACTCCCGGCACACGGGGATGGTTCTTTCCACCACGCTGCACTCGGAGGACACCGGCGACAGGCTGCCGTCCCGCGAGGTGAAATTGCAGTTTGCACCGCTCTCCTGTCCTGCATCCAGCACCTTCTCCTGCTGGCTGTTGGGTGTGTTCCACAAAATGCTGGATTTCATGAACTCCGAGCAGGTGCTGGCCACGCTGAACATCTGCATGTAGCTGGCGGCGGCCAGCACGTCGATGATGTTCTCGGTGTTGATGGACAGCGTGGCCGTGTACGCGTACTCCAGCAGCGGGATGAAGCCCGTCACCGTCACGTGGTGCAGGTCCAGCACGCTCTTGCCCTCGTCCTCTGCTTGGCCAACGAGTTTGGAGCGGAAGAAGTCGCTGCAGGCTGCCAGAACCACCTTGTGTGCCCGGAAGATCTTGTCCTGCACGCGGATGGTGATGTCGCAGAAGTGGCCGTCGTTGCGGAGCATGTTCAGCTTCCCCAGCATCTCCTGACTGTGAGCAGGGGAGTTATGAGTGAATGTTTTAACACCCATTTTTAGATGGCTCTCTTAGCGTTCTTCCCACATATGACAGATCAAAGGTATCCTGAAATAAAGAGGAAAATTGTTATTTCCATCTCTGAAAGCAAAAGCCAAGTGCATTCGTGATTGTAAGACTCTGTACGAAGAAAATCCATCTGAATCCTCTCATCCAGGTTCCTCTAGGATCCAGACTGTGCAAGGGACTAACTCCACAGAAATACAATTACTTGTAATTTTCATAATCACAGATTAAATGATTTATAATCTGTCCCTATCATCTTCCATACATCTATGTACCTGTATCTCCCTGTACCTATAGGGGTATCTCTCCCTCTCTCTCTCTCTCTCCACACTCCTGTTATGCCTACTCAAACTCAAATTCCCAATACAGTTCAAAAAAATGTTTGTAATACCAAAACCAAAGCATTTTAAAAACTGTGTAGAAACCTGTATTTTTATTTTCTGGGCCCAGAAAACCACTGCTCATAGTTGTTAAACTGACAGACTATTGAAGGTTTCTTTTAAACAGAAAAGTCAGGCTGAGCCAACAACAAGGGTGCAGGAGTAAGCAAATCTCCCAGGGAAGGTATTTAATACCAGAAAAGCTTGAGAGAAACTACAGCATGAATTTTCAGAGGCCAGAGTTCAAACAAATAAATATAAAACAGCAGTTGCCAATAGGTCTGATTTCCTGCTGTAGTGCAGGTATTGATTACCTAAAGCTGCTTTTAATAGCTTTAAACTAGGCTCAGAGGTTATTGAGAATTCCTTCATAAACACAATGCAATATAAACCTCAAAGGAAAGTTTAAGCTTAAATCAAATAGACATAAACTGATTTTATGTATGTGATAAATAAAACAAGGAGGGCAACTTCCTTGTGAAAACACAAACTGCCTTCCTGGGGAGCAGTTCTCTCCATGTGGGAGCAAATGCATGTGTTTAGTGCAAGGTCTGGATGGGAATGTTTGACCCCTGGATTCCCCAAAAATTTCAGGAACATTTCACTGTGAAGGGAACATAAACCACAGTGTTTCACCTGCTTAAGCCCCTTCCAAGCCTCCATGGAAGCTCTCTGTGCTGCACGTGCCTCATACAATTAACACGATAGAGAATTATCTCACTGGTTAAACATCAACAGCATTATTGTGCTTGATTCATTCCTGGAGTCAGCCAGCTTCTGCACATCATCCTTCTTTCCCTTCCACACAAAAAAAACATTCCATGCTTGCAAATGGCTCACGTGGAGCTTCACAGAGCAAGTGCAAGTGTGGAACAACTTACCCCAAATGTGACACATGGAAACAGCAGCTGTCACAGCCCACCTGGTTCTACATTGACATTTGGCTGCTTCTTCTTCCTGGGTTTTCACTTTTGATACTCAAACCCTTGCAGACAGAGGAACCCTAACTGTTCAAGAGAACAGATTAACTAACACCTGATAATATATATAAAGTCTGGTGGAAACTCTAAGGGCCATTTGGGTTTAAAATGAAATCTCACACTGGTGCAGAGGAAGAAGTTAAGCACAAGCAAAACATTCCCTTCACTGAAAGAAAACAGATCGACCTCAAGAGGCATCTGAATTTCCAGACTCTTTGTTCTCCAGCATGAATCAAATGAAAAACATATTTCATTGATCTCAGACCAACACACTACAGCAAAATCTTGTAACAGCATATTTAGAAATGGCCTTTGGATCCCCTTCCTTGTGAAATGCTGCTTGCTGCAGCTGTTCCTTGGCACATCAGAAGCTCACAAGTACTTCTGTTCAGCAGAAGTACAAGAACATCACATTCACAAGGACTAGCCATGGAATCATTTGGTATTTAGAAATAGTACCAATATATTGTTATGAAAAAGGAGAAAGATCTCAGAGCAACCCTCCCAGCTCCTGCAGGCCCAAAAGCCAAAGCCATTTTCCTCTCTGTGCTTCTGAACAGGGAATGCTCAGCCCTCCAGCCCCAAAGTGAGAGCTCAGTTCTGCTGCCCTGCTCGAAACCATTCCTGTCCTGCTGCCCCTCCCCTCTCCTGGCTTCCTTTCCCCTTCTCCTTTCATCTTTTTGCTTCCTCGACCTTGATCTGGTTACAGAATTGAAAATAAAATAGCGGAAGTCAGTGATGTGCAATAAATTGATTTAAATTTATTACAGGAGCAGTGTTCCTGCCACAACTGTGGGATATTGCTCTGTTAAATCGCTTCTGGCAAATGACTTTCACCCTCACTGCACTGACACCTCCACTCAAACAAGTGGCTCCCACCCAGGCCTCAGTGTGAACAAGGAGCATGCACAAATGCTATTTTCAGAAAAATCCAAAGGGCCAGGCTGAGGAGGGGGAAAAAAATATCAGTTCCTTACAGTTAATGATGTAGTAAAAACATCAAATATTTTTAGAAGGCAATTTAAACAGTATGAAAGCATTTTCCACATGAAAAGATGAGCGTGCTAAAGCACAGCCAGGTTATCCTATGTTTTTTATCCAGGTTTTCCAGTCTTTCAGTGGCACGAGGCACTTTTATAGCTGCACTCAATTGCCAGTGACCTGAGAGGGTAAAGGGCTGCAACATTACAGCTTCAGCCCAAGTCTATCATCTGTGTATTATCACCATTTGAAAATAGCACTTTGGCAGAGCGAGTCCCTGCCAGCAGCTCTGGGGTGCCACATGCAAGAACTAAATATACCCAGGCCCTTGGGAGGGCTGGGGTGGGACAGCAAGGTGCACACCTCAGCTGAGTGCTCAGAGGGCTGGAGCTGGGAAAGCTGCTAATTTTGGAGCCACAAACCATTCTGCAGGCAGGGAGCAGGGATGGTACCACAGAGAGTGGGGCTCCCCCTCCCATTCCCCAGGCACACACTCACACCCTGGCCCACAACACATTTCCAGCCTCCACAGAAACACACAGAAATTCAAGGCACTTTCACAGGTTTTAAAAATATTCACAGTGGGACACTTCAGTCCATATTTAACTTTGACACAGACATTTACAGTTGGAGAGAATGGTTTTTCCAGCATGCATTCCTGCCCTGGAAACATGTGAGGAATCACCATCACAGCATCCATCCCTGAACAAGGTGAGAATTCAAATGTGAGCACTTCAGGGCTTCCAGAGCAAGGACAATTTTATCCCCTGTTAGCCAAAAGCAGTCTGAAGGGAAGTGCTACTGTACCAAAGGATTTGTACAATTCATTTGAGAATTAGTTGTTATTTTTTTCTAACACCTAGGGGCACAAATGAAGAGCTGACCTTTAAGTAGTTTGGAGTAACTCAGCTCATTCTCACTTTTCAAGGCTACTGAAATGCAAGTTTTAGCAACAGCTACCACAGCACATCCACTGTTCTGGGATTCAACAGGTGCCAAGTTTCCGAGCTTAGAAACAGCAAAGATGAAACTGTACACTGTAAGTGTAATGTTATAATGTAATGAAACTGTGAATGGAAAAGAAACTATATTGGAATTCAAAAATATTGCTTATGTGACCTATGAACTTCCATGTACACAAAATTTAGCTCCTTATTCACCTGCTGCCTGATGTGATTGGGTTTCAAACATGGTATCTAGAATAATATTTTAGAAGTCAGTGAAGCAAACTCAGGGAGCTGTCTGCATTCAGTTTCTCACTTAGTCATATCATTTCAAAACAGAAGTCATTTTTAGCACCACAAAACCACCACCCTACCTTTAACCTCCCTATCCTGATTTGTGGCAACTCACAGCATGAAAACAGCAGCTTTTTCTGAACACTGAAACCAACAGACTTTATATCACTTTATAGCAATTAGCTCCTCAAAACAAATAAGAAATTCCCACCCTGGTGCTCACCAAGCCCTCAGATACATTCATCAAACCGTGATGTGAGCCCATGGTGTAAATCAGATCTTTGGTTGTTTTTTAATATTATTATTTATTTTGAATGCTGATCACTCCTTGGGCAGTGGTTAGAGCAGCATTCCAGCAGCAGCAGCTCAGACACAGACAAACCTTCCACGGGGATAAACATGAGACCTGGAGCATTTTATCTCTGTCATCTCACTGAGGTACACAGGTACCAGCACCCCTCACGCCCTCCAATTAACTGGTTAGTATAATTAAGTATAATTAAGTTCATAATTGAGTCAGAACAACTGCTTCAATCAGAATGAACTACAAGTCTGCTATTTCTGTTTCTATCTCTATCTAAACCCACATCTGTTTCCCCAACAGCAGCTGGCCTAGTAAAAGGTGCTATCTCCATTATAAATCTTGTCCTGGTTCACTTCACAAAACTGCAGGCCAGAGCTCCCACACCATCCTAGTTTCAAATCAATCAACAGCACTTTTTAAGCTTTATTTTAAATCATGTTTTAACTCAGGTTAGTGACCCCAGCTTGACCTCATGCCAGCACTGCCAAACCTGACAGAATTCATGTAAAAGAGGCAAACAGAGGTTTCTGTGCTCAAAATGACATCAGTGTGGAACATTCACTGTGGAATCCCTGGAATGCAAACCTGTAACCTTTGGCTGCAGTGGGTGAGTGGACCAGGGAAATGACCCATTCTGGGAAGTTTGCTGGCCTTGAGAAGTTCCATTTCCTCCAGGACAGCAGATTCCAAACTGAGAGTGCACAATGGAGCCAGTGTTGAGGAGCTGCTGCACAAACCCCGTTGTGCTCAACCTGAGAGATGCCAAGCTGCAGCCTGTGCTGGGTGAGGGGATGGCACAGCCTGTGCTGGGCGAGGGGATGGCACAGCCTGTGCTGGGTGAGGGGATGGCACAGCCTGCAAACAACCCAGGGAGCGCTCAGTGCTGGGCCTGCCTCAGTCCTTGCCCTCTCAGTGTCCAAACCATTTCACTGGAATATCCCAGGACACTGCCCTGTGTCCCTCTCCTCCCAGCTTTGGACAATGCTCAGGCACTTTCTGTTTTAAAGAGTTTGGAGCTGTTTTGTTCCTGGCCAGGGCTCCAGCTGCACACTGAACCCTCCCATCCCTGGCAGGATCTGTGTGCCCACCCAGAGGGGCTGATGGCAGGTAAGGAACTCAGAGAGCTCCACTTGGGAGCTG